CGACCCCCTGGGAGACTCAGTAAACCCTGGCCGCACCTCTTAGGGGAGGGTGCTAGACAGAGGATCTGCACCCCAAGAGTGTGCCTAGAGCCTCCAAGATAGGAACAGTGCATGGACTCTGTTCTGATTCCAGAGGCCTAAGACACCTGGGGATTTAGGGGCTGGATCTGCTCACAGCAGTCTGAGTGGCCAAGAGGGGGCGCTCGACTAGATTTGTGTCTCTGCACACTGCAAAATTACAAACAAATGTGGCATGTAAGGACTCAGCCGAATCATTTAAAGACATATACATATATTTCTAAAAGGCAATGAACATTTGGTTTCCAGTGGGTTTCCTAAATGCATTAATATTGCAAAGCTCTTCTTTTCGGCCACTTACCTCAGGATCTAATTTTCCCCAGTTGACTGGCAGCCTATAAGCAACTCACGATTACATTTTTAATTTCCCCCCCAACAATTATGAAAAATGAATACTTGCTGCAGCTTTCATTCACAAATGAATAAAATACAAAACGAATCTCATGTTGATTCAAAAGAATGGGCTGAATCTTCCATTCACTACCTATTATAACACAAAACTAATTATATCAAAGCTACTGAAAAGAATTTATTGCCTTGAACATACATATAGAATATAAAGAAACACAATACACCACACTGCAGATTAGTACTGTTCATCTATGGTACCTCTCATTTAAGAAGTCAAGACCAAAGCATTTCAAAGGATACAATATGATGCCAGCATTTATCTCCCTACACTGAAATGTTACGTTGTTTATCAAAGTGTTTTAGCAACCTCAATAATGGGGGGGGGGGGAAGAGAAAAAATGGTTGAAAAAATGACAAAGAAAATCCATAGTCAGAACATAATTCTACAATATTTCAACGTCCATCTTTGTCAGCCACCGAGAAAAAGAGAGTTTAGGAAGCAAGGAGCTTTTGTTATTGACATCTGCACTTGAGTAAATGAATGATATTCCAATAAAAGGCTTGTCAGAAAAATTCTCATTGACAATTCCAGAACCTGCAAGATAATAAAAGTAATGTCTTAAAGGTTCATAGAGACACAACTCAAGTTTTAGGAATATACATCAGGCACTGATAACCAAATCTGGGAAATATAAATCTTTAGCGTTCTGAGCTATGGAAATTCCCTGAGCTTGATGGACTCTGCAGCACTTACCTTTCTGCTCTGAGCAGGAAGGTACCTTGTGTGTATATAATTACAGACTTCACCAGTGGAAAAGGGGCCACAGCAGGATGCTTCATTTGGCAACTGAAATGCTTGTCAGATCCTGGGAACAGAGTCTGTGATTCCGCCTAACCATTTGAATGGGGATATATTAAGACGTGTGTGCATAGACAGGTTGATAGATAAGTAGCAGATAGATACCGAGAAGTATACACCTCTCTATATCTAGAAACGTGCACAAATACATCTCAAGCTGCATGCAT